GCCCCCCCCCCCCAATGAACCCTCTAGGTTACACACTGAGACACCTGGCTGCTTCCACTCACATCAGATCAGGGGCATGCCTACTAAGGAGCCTTCTTCTGATTCCCAAGGCCATACTCATGGTATTTCCATCCCCCACCCATGAACTTGGCTGTCTTCCAACGTTCTGAAATCTTGGGAGTCCTCCTGGACATATCCTCTCCCTGATGCTACTCCATCATCAGGACCTGTCCACTTTGCCTCTAAATCTCTCCTGAACTCATCTACTTATTATTTCTACCAATACCACCCTGGTACAATCTACTGTGAATGTTCTCCTAGGTTATTTTAACAGCCTTCTACGTAGTCCTTCTGCTTCCATTCTGAGTTTTTGTTTTGTATTTTGGTTGTTCTTGTTGTTAATCCTCACCTGAGGATATTTCTTCCATTGATTTTTAAAGAGAAGGGAAGGGAGGGGTAGATAGAGAGAGAGAGAGAAACATGGATGTGAGAGAGACACATTGATTGGTTGCCTCCCACACACACCCCGACCAGGGTCAGGGTTCGAGCCTGCAACTGAGGTACATGTCCTTGACCAGAACGGAACCTGTGACCTTTCAGTCCGCAGGCTGATGTTCTAACAACTGAGCCAAACCTGCTAGGGCCATTCTAGCTCCTTTCTAATCCTTTCTCCACAGAACAGCCAAGTGATATTTTCAAATGAAAATTTGATCATGTCATCACTACCAACCACCTCTTCTTCACCCCTATTTAAAACCTTCCATGAATTCCCACTGTTCCAAGAGTAAAAACCAAACTCTTAACATGCCTACACCACCATACGTGGCTTGGTCCTCACCTACTTACCTCCCCAGTCACATATCATCTGCCCCAGACACACCAGCTTGCTTACAATTCTTCCAGTGGACCAAACTCTTCTCTCAGAGCTTCTGAACTTTCTTAGTCCCATGTACGCCTAAGCACCAGTTCAGAAAAGCCCTCTCTGAGTCACTGACCTTGGTTACCCACACCACCTCAATCTGGGTCAGATTCTCTTGTTACATGTTCTCAGAGGACTACTTTCTTTACCTCCACAGCACCTACCTCAGTTTATCATTTCACACTCATCTGTACAATTACTCAATTAAAATCTCTTTCACAACAACAGGAATCAGCAAAGTATGGTCTGTGGGTGCCTGTTTTTGCATGGCCCACAAGCTAAGAATGATTCTTACATTCTTAAAGGGTTGGTAAACTAACAAAACAAAAAAAAACAACATGCAACAAAAACCATATGTGGTTCACAAAACCTAAAAGACTTACTATCTATAAACATTTACTTCATTGAACGTTTCCCAACCCCTGAGCAAGACTCTAAGCACTAAGAAAGCAGGGCCCAAGTCCATCTTACCACTGTCTCCCAGAGCTTAGCACACAGCCTGCCACATGTGCTCAGAATGACTGTCGAAGAAGTAAATGGAGATGATATCAAAGAATGTAAAAGCAGAAAAAAGAAATGTTAAAAGAAAAAGGAGGAGGCAAGGAAAAAAAAAAAATCAAAACACCTGGATAAAGAAGCTTTAGAGCTGTCACTCATTAGAAAAGCTAATGAGCAAGTGAAACAGTCAGAGGTTACAGTGTGTGAAAGGTCAGATGAATTAAAATAACTCGGTAGATGAAAATATATTTCAAAAAGTTTAAAAGGATTTCCATTTGGAGCTTATCTTGCCTGCTATCAGAGAACTGCTTCTAATTATTCTGTCCTCAGAACTAAATGTCCAAGCCACAAAGAATATACCACATCCAGAATGGAGACTAAGGAATGGCTGGGGGAGGGGGGGAGTCAGGGCAGCAGCCAAATCCTTACCTGCAAGACCTGCTGAATGCTCCGAAGCCAAGAGACACAGTGCTGCTGGAACATCTCTGTAGAGCTCTCCCCCACCAGCAAAGACAGCAGACAGAGGCCCTCAAACCTTGTAAGAAAGAAGTGATAACAAGGTGGAGGCTAGACTTCAGAGAAAGCTATTAACTGCTCTTTTACTCTCACTGGACTATTGCAAGACTTCACCTCCAGGTCACTGTGGTTTCTAACTCCTGAAATACATAGAAGACTTGAAGTGAGATGCAGGAAGCAAGGAAAGAAGGGAACAGAGATCATCATGATCCCAGGTGGGGCATAAGAAACTTGAGCTAGTATAGATGAGATTCAACTCAAGTGAGCTCATGAAAAGAATGACACTCCCCAGCCTCTGGGGAACGAAGAAATCTCTTGAGTCTATGGGGGGTGACAATGTATAGCTCACTTCCTAAGGAAATATCCCCATGGGGGAAAAAAGGTTAAAGACTTACCGAGTTTTGATAGAACCAAGACGTGCATTACTGAGACCCACCAACGCGCCAACTGCTGAAAGGTTCTGTAACAAAGAAAACAGGTAAGTGAGTCAGGAAAAGGATGCTAAAGATGCAGAATCTCTCCAAGCCCTTTCCTGTGCCAGTATCTATGAATCCTTTTCTGAAGTCCTTTGAAGATAAAAGGAGGCCTTCAGCCTTTGTCCTATTTTCAGTAGGTGACACATACAGCAGCCTGTCCTGCAGGCTTCCTTCAAAGTCAAGTCTTGCTTGACCCCTTCTCCTACTGTCCACCCAACAAATTAGTGCTATACAGAGGACAGCCCAACTCATCCCAGCTACCAAGCCTCGAAGACAGGTCTGTTTCACCTGTGTATCCTTGAGCAGCACCTAGCAGAGGAGACAGTCATAAACGTTGCTGAATGGACACTGAACTCATCAGTTACCCTGCCTCCTTCACCTCCAGACAAATGCCCCTCATCCTGTCCCTGGCTTCCTTAGAGCAGTTAAGAATGCCAAGTTGGCTTCCGGCCAGGGTGGTGGAACAGGTGAATGCTATACTCACCTCCTCCCACGAACACATCAAAATTACAACCATACTACAGAACCACCATCATTAAGAACAGCCTGAAATCTAGCTGAACAGAAATCCTATAACTGCCCGGTCGGTCTGGCTCAGTGGTTGAGCGTTGACCCATGCACCAAATGGTCGACAGTTCAATTCCTGGTCAAGGGGCATGTACCTGGGCTGCAGGTTTGATCCCCAGCCCCAATTGGGGCAAGTGCAGGAGGCAACCAATCGATGTGTCTCACATCAATGTTTCTCTCTCTCTCTCTCTCTCTCAATTTCCCTCCTTCCTCTCCCCTTCCCTTTAAAAAGAATAAAGTATAACATATACTTTAGTCATTATTATAGTCAATGTTATTGTATATAGTCATATATACAATAAACAATATATTGACTATATATTGAATATAGTCAATATTATTGTAATAACTATGTATGGTGTCAGATGTGTTCTGGCTTTATCGGGTGATCACTCCATAAGTTATATAAATGTCTAATCATTATGTTGTACACCTGAAGGTAATATCATATTGTATGTCAACTATAACTAAAAATCAAAAAATTTTAGTAGAAATAAACAAATACCAAGGTAGACCTAGTCAGCCAGAGCCTCCTTCCAACCCTCTCCTTCTCTCACACTCTGAGAGCCTCAAAAGTGGTTTCCTCCTCAGCCCCCTACAGGTAAGTTCTCCATCCCCTGAATGGTCAGACTCCTCATGGCCCCTACACCACTGTAACCACACTCAGCACTCATTTGTTCAACAAACATTTTATGCACTAAGTCAAGTGAAGCAATATAGAGCTGAATAAAATAAATAAGATCCCAGTTCCCATAAAAAGAAATGTTAATTTATTCAATAAATATTTAACATCTACTTCATGTGAGACATTGTTTTAGGTGCTATGGGGGGGTTACATTCTAGTTAGAAAAGACAGAAAATAAACAAATGACCAAATAATAATAGGTTGGATGGTGCTAAATGCCATAGGAAAGAATAAAGTAGACTAAGGAAGGGAAGATAAGGCTGGAATAGGGGAGATAACATTCTGTGTAGAGTGAGCACAAAAGCCCTCTCTAAAAAGGCCATTGAGCAGAGACCTAAAGAAGAGTGAAGGCAAGAAACACTGATACCCTCATATACTGCTGATAAGAATATAAAAAGATGCAGCCACTTTGGAAAACAGTCTAGCGGTCCTCAAGAGGTTATACATAGTTACCCATATGACCCAGCAATTCCACCCTAGGTATATGCCTAAGAGAAATGAAAATATATGCTTTTGCTAGAACCTGTGCACGAATGTTCATAGCAGCATTATTCATAATAGCCAAAATATGGAAACAACCCAAATGTCCATCAACTGATGAATACATAAACAAAAGGTAGGACATCAATACAATGGAATAGTATTTGGTCATAAAAAAGGAATGACGTTCTGGGACATGGATGAACCTTAAAACATTATGCTAAGAAAAAAAAGTGAGACCCAAAAGGCCATATATTGCTTGATTCATTAATATGAAATAGTAGGTAAATCTAGAGATAAAAAGTAGATTAGTGGTTGCCAAGGTCTGAAGGGCAGGGAGGCTGTGGGGGGAAACGGAGAGTTACTACCAATGGGTAGCATTTCCTTATGGAGTGATGAAATGTTCTAAAATTGATCATGGTGACTTGTACACTTTAAATGGATGAATTGTATGGTATGTGAATTACATCATTAAAGCTGTTTTTTTATTTTTTATTTTCTTTTTAAGTTTTTATTATTATTATTATTATTTTTAAATATATCTTTACTGATTTCAGAGAGAGAAAAGGAGAGGGATAGAGAGATAGAAGCATCAATAATGAGAGAGTCATTGATCAGCTGCCTCCTGTACAATGGGGATCGAGCCCACAACCCAGGCATGTGCCCTGACCGGGAATCGAACCCCGATAGTCTGGATCCTAGGTCAACGCTCAACTGCTGAGCCACACCCGGCCGGCAAAGCTGTTTTTTTTTAAATGTTTTTATTGATTTTATATTGCTTTTAGAGAAAGAGAAAGAGAGAGGGAGAGAGAAAGAAAAACAGAAACATTGATGTGAAAGAAACATCGATCGGCTCCCTCCTGCACATCCCCCCTACTGGGGATTGAGCCCACAACCTGGACATGTGCCCTGACTGGGAATCAAACCAGCAAACTTTCAGTGCATGGGATGATGATCAGCCAGCTGAGCCACACCAGCCAGGACTTAAAGATGTTTTTTGTTTTATTTTATTTTTTTAATCCTCACCCAAAGATATATTTTCCATTGATTTTTTTTGGGGGGAAGGGGAGACACTGATGTGAGAGAGAGAGACCACATCGATTAGTTGCCTCCTGCACGTGCCCCGACTGGGCAGGGGATCGAGCCTGCAACCGAGATACGTGCTCTTGATCAGGAATTGAACCCATGACCCTTTGGTCTGTGGGCCGATGCTTAAGGCTGGGCTTAAGGCTGTTTTTTAAAAAAGGCATATGGATAACCCAAAAAAATACTGTTCCTGGCAGAGGAGAGAAAAAGAGCAAAGGTTTTGAGATGACAATGTGCATAGCTGAGGACTCGCAAGGAATTGTCACTGGAGAAAAGTGAGCGAGAGAGAGGGGAGTAATAAAAAATGAGGTCCCAGTAGAAGGGCCAGACCTCATAGTCGTATAGGCAATGGGTGAATTTACTCTAAGTAAAATAAAAGTCATGGGGAGAGGAGGGAATGGGGCAGAAGAGTGATATTGTCTGACTTGTAATTTATTTTTTAAAACTCATCGACAATACTTGAGTGGCTTGTTGAGAAGGTAGAAGCAGACAGAAGTAAGAAGCTATTATAATAACACAGGCGAGAGACGATGTAGCATAAAGAGCGTGGTAATAGTGGGGATACAAAGCATCACCTTCCGGGTATATTCTGAAGGTAGAGACAAGTTTTGGTAACAAACTGGATATGGGTGGGAGTAAAGATAGAAATAATTCCAAGGTTTTTCACTTGAGCAACTAGCCATTTACTAAGGAAAGGAATACTGCAGGAGGAGATTTGGGGGATGAGAATCAGTTCAGTTTCAGATATGTTAAATCTGGGATATCTATTTAACATCAAAATGGAGATGCCAAATAGATGTTGGATAGGTGAGTCTGGAGTAGGATAAATCCTGGTGAGAGTATGAATTTGGGAGCTGTCAGTCACGAAACTGGCTCAGCTGGCCAAGGGAATAAAAAAAGCAGTACAAGGACTGAGTTCTTGGGCGCGCAAACATTTACATGTCATAGAAGTGAGGAGGAACCAGTAAAGAAGACTAGTAAGGCGTAAGAGAATCAAGAGTGTCCCAGCCCAGCCGGGTGTGGCTCAGCAGTTGAGCACGGACCTAGGATCCAGGAGATCACAGTTCAATTCCCGGTCAGGGCACATGCTCGGGGATGCGGGCTCGATCCCCAGTTGGGGGCATGCAGGAGGCAGCCAATCAATAACAACTCTCTCATCATTGATGTTTCTCTCTCTCTCTCTCCCCCTCTCCCTTCCTCTCTCTGAAATCAATAAAGATATATTTTTTTAAAAAAACAACAAAAAAAGAGGGAGTGGTATCCCAGAAGTGGAGAAAATTTTGCAAAAAGAAAGTGATCAACTGTATCAAATGCTACAGAAGGGTGAAATAATATGAGGACCCAAATTTGACCTTTGAACTTAATATCTTGATGGTCACCTGTGACTTTCAAGAATTATCACACGACCCAACAAAGGGGTGTTTCAGTGAAGTGGTTAAGTTGCGAGGCTAAATGGGATGAGTTCTACAGGACAACCATCATATCATAGTAGGGATATACTATAAAATAACTATCCTGTAACTCTTGAAAATGTCAAGATCATAATACAAAGACTGAGGAACTACTTCCGATTAAAGAAAACTAAAAACCTCCTCAAACTATTCCAAAAAATTCAAGTGGCGGGAAGATTTCCAAGCTCCTTTTACAAGGATAGCATTACCCTAATTCTAAAACCAGATAAAGACACGACAAAGAAAGTAATTATAGGCCTATATCCCTGATGAACAAAGATGCTAAAATCCTCAACAAAATATTAGCAAATCGGATCCAGCAATATATTAAAAAGATTATTCACCATGACCAAGTGGGATTTATCCCAGGGATGCAAGGCTGATACAATATTTGCAAATCAATAATGTGATACATCACATAAACAAAATGAAAAATAAAAATCACATGATCATATCAATAGACACAGAAAAAGCATTTGGCAGAATCAAGCACCCATTTATGATAAAAACTGTCAGCAAAGTGGGAATAGAGGGATCATACTTAAACAAAATAAAGGCCATATATAAAAAACCCACAGCCAACATCATACTCAATGGACAAAACAAAAAGTGTTTTCCTTAAGATCAGGAGTAAGACAGGGATGTCCACTTTCACCACTCTTATTCAACACAGTACTGAAAGTCCTAGCCACAGCAATCAGACAAGAAAAAATAA